TCATATTTGATACACTTGTCTGAGACATTTTTTTAACAAAGGTAAAGGGGAAATGAGTGAGAAATTTACCGTAAAATTAACCACAACAATTCTCTTTTGTCACCCAAGATGGGAATAACAGTCCTTATAAACAATAGGTCCGTTCATTCAACAACATCTGAGTCAAGTTTTTCTCCTTTTGAATCCAAAGGTACCGTGTTGAATTTCTTCTAAGCTGTGTCTAGCCTGTTTACTTCCTGGTTCCTGAGTAAATCATGAGAATTCCCAAAGAAATTCCAAAGAATTCCCAAAGAAATTCCAAAAGAAACAAAGTAAAATAAAAGATAAAAAAATAGTGGTAATTTATGTTAGCATAGGAGCAGCAGACTGCAAACATAAAAGCCAGCAAGAGAAGGGGACCAAAGATAAACTCAACAATATCTCAGAAGCCACTGCATGCTTCAAAACTATTTGCAAAACAGTTACTGGGACTAAATTATCTTGTCTTCCTTCTGTATTTCTTGTATTCAAGATTCTGATATAATTATTGCTCCTTTAAATTATTCCTTTAAAAATCTCCATCTCTATTAGTTTTTTTCCTCTGCCCTCCAGTGGAGGTCTTAGGTAATACAGGTGCCATTTTATTAAACATTTTGATATGACTCCAAGATATGATCTCCAAGAGCTTACCTATTTGACAACTTCAAACTCACTTTAATATTAATATTGCCCATCTGTTTGCACACTATAGCAGCTGCTATGGCAGCAATTAAGGAAGTAATTATTTAAGAAATATCTAAAGTTTGTGCCAACAGGAACAGTACTACTGCAAGCTTAAAGTGTCAGCAAGCAGTTTCCTTATCAGCAAAGACAAAAAGTATCAGACTATTTTCCTTTGTAGAATCTACAATCTACTGCTTTGCTTCTTGATAAGAAAAATTATGACTTTATCATTCAACACAAGAAATATACAGCCAAGTGTACTGCATGAAATGCAAATACTGATCTTTTTAAAACACCAACAAGAAAAATAAAATCCCATGAATTCATCATTGCTCAATTAAAAACACTGCTTGCTTTTGTACAGATATTTTGGAAAAATGAATAAAAGATAAAATAGATACATTTTAACAATTAAGAGTATTTTTTTTTGTTTTTTTAAGGGCATAAAAAAAGCACATCCCTAAAGTTGATCAGATATTATAAAGATATTACCTTAAACGCCTGATGTAACACTCAAGAAACCAAACATGGTATGTTCAATCATATTGAATTTTCGATTCAATTCAATCTATTTAAATAGCACCAGTTCACAACACGTCATCTGAAGGCCCTTTACATGTTAAAGGATTATATATTCAATCTTGTAAAATAACTTTCTGCAAATTATTTCTTAATAGGTATTATGGGACTAATATTTAATCAACATCGAAACAGTTTTTTTTAGCAGCTAAATTGACAAAAATTGATGTTTCATGGAATAAAAGATAAAGGACTTCATGGGGGAATTCTCAGGGGATTAACAGAGCAGATCCGGACATGTAGGATGAAAGGACGTCCTCATAGTTTAGATTTCAAACATTGGGTTAATGCATTAGGCCCAACCTCATGGATTTGACAATCAAAATGTACAAATGAGAAAATAAGTTTAAGTTGACTTTCCATCATTTTCATTGTAATCAATAGGTTTAACACAAAATCTAGTTTCTAAAAAGTACATGTTTTTATTTGCCATTTGGACAAAATCATTGGTAATAAAAGAACCCACAATGGTCACAGAAATAACATGAATCTGACAAAAGCAATCAATAAAATTCTAACACATTGAAATTTTTATTCAGACTTGCTTTTTTAACCATGCTTTCACAGAAATTATTGTACCCTTATCTTAATCACTGCATTGAAATTGTTAATGAGACTTCTACTCCTCTTAGCAGGTAGTTTGGTCCGCTCCTCATGAGCAAACTGTTCAAGCTATCTTGATGAGACAAAGCTTTCTAACACCAGCAGCACATTCCTCTCTAGAATTCCTTAATCTTGGAGTTTTATTTTACCCCAAGATCAAGACACCCTGTGCAAGATGAAGTAAAGCAGCCCCAAAGCATAAGAGAGTCTCTTGTCTATAATTTTATAATTTTATAAAGCCTTGTTGAACAGCAATGTCTGATTTTATTTGTTCATCTTCAAAGAATGTTAATCTATTACCACTTTAGTCAGATTCAAGTTATTCCTTTTACCATTGTGGGTTTTTCTCTCATTGAACAAGAGGAACCAAAAACTTTGTTTGCTTGTGAACCTATTAAAAACACCATCAGTTGTACTAATGGTAAAACTAATGGTTCAAGTCATGGCTTGCCGTTAGGAGTAAAGCCTGACAAAACTTTGACCAGATTACCAGTAGATAAGTATCTTTTTTAAAATCATGTTTTTCTTAGAAGGTAAACTTATTTAAAAAAACTACACATATTAAACCATAAAAGGTCTGGTTTTAATCATACTCTTAAATATCTTAGAGTTTAACAAAGTCATAGAAAAATGTTAGCAACCTTCCTATTTTTTTTTTTCTTTCAAAATGGACAAATATTTTCTAAAGCTGTTTTGTCACGATACCATCAACTCCAGCAGCCAACATTACCTTTCTGCTGGCATAAACTAAACACAGACTTTGTCCGAAGGCCAAAATATGTATAAGACCAGATAAATCAGTTCTCTAACCCAGACAGCAAGAAAAAAAAAGAAAAAGACATGATTTTGGAATTTCCCTGTTTTGGCTGCTCTTGTTCATGATTCATAATTAGGAAAAAAAAAAAGTTATTGAATGATATCTCAGAAATAATACGTGGATGTGCTGCACGGGAAGAGATTGATGTAGACATTCTAACTTTTGCTTAAAATATATTCTCTGGCTGGAAAACATGTTTCAACTAGTGGGCTTCCTACTGTAGCGCCACATGAACTGTCTACATCGTTGCTCTTGGCCCTAGTTTCGAATTATTTCACTAAATTTTATTTAAAAAAAGTGAAAAACATGTTTGGCACTATCTTTTTTCTTATATAATAATGATTTTGTTACCTTTATTGTGGCCAAAGCTATTATCAGGTCTCAATATAGGTAGAGCGACTAATGTCACACATTTTTAGCTGACTTATTTAGTCTTAGCAGCCATCTTTTGCTTCTGTTTGAAATGAAATCAACTTCATATATATTTACATTTCAACCAACATGCTGATCCTAGGGAGTAATACAGATGAATCCATTCTTACCATCAGCCAGCTCAGCTCCGAACACTATAGCCCGTGACCCTGACACCCCAATGCAGTGCAGAAGAGGATCGCAGCGGAGGCTGAAGTTAATAAGAGCAGCTTCCACTCCAGCCTTGGCCAGGCCAAGCCACAGAGCCACATGTAAAGGCCTGCTTTCCAGAAAGAGAGCCACCACATCCCCAGGGACCCATCCTTGACCTCTTGCCCAGTGAGCTACTGCATTAGAGATCTCATCCAGCTGGTTGAAGGTCCATGTTTCTCCTGTGGCTTCATAGATCAGAGCTGGTTTATTTGGGTGGCGTTTCACTGTCTCTGCGAAAATGGTAGGAATATTGCTTCCAGAGCGCATGTAACGCCACAAAGCCAGCTTCACCCTCAGCAGCACATACAGGCCACTGAAGAGGGGAAAGAGGAGAGTGAATGCAGAGAAGGATGGAGAGTCACATCCACATGCATCACACATTTATTTAGATGCATCAACTTACTTGAGGTCTCTTTTGGCAGTACGTGCTGCAATGTAGAAGTATTTCCAGCTTCTGGTGCCCAGATATACACCTAGGCCTGCTGCCAGAGTCCAGGACCAGGACACCCCAACCAGACGTAGCAGTCCCACAGACCCCAGAGAGGCTGACACACTCGCTGCATTGTGCATTCTGGTCACGGAAAGAAGGGGGGAGAAAGATGGCATTTACACAATACATGGCTTAAACTACAGCCTGCATGGGTTCCTTGTAAGTAGGCCTGCAGCGTGGAAGACTGGTACAACCAAGTACAGCAGAAAACTTACTTTTTTGCTGCTTATTAACTTACAAACACATTTATTTTACTAATCACTATAGCTGCAAAAAATTGTATGCAGGTTGCATTTAAGGGAAAACAGATAGCTGGTGCCACAGTTGTAAGACAAACTCATCACACATGTGTTCAAAACTTACCTATGAGTCAATAATGTGCCGTGCCGTTCACCTTTCACCCAATAACCCTGCAGCTCCACTCACTTTGCCACTTTTTCAGTTTGACGGAAGCTTTCAAACTTCGTCTCCCAGCTGTTGAAACCGTCCACAATGTTGCGTTTTGGTAGCAAACAGGAGTTTTGAAGCGTTGCGGCAGTTTATCGTTATCAGCGCCCAAACTGTCAAGTAATGAGGAGTTTGCTAAGTTCAAGCTGTATCTCAAAATAGGGGGTAAGTGATAATAACAGGTTGGCATCTGCAAATAATAATAATAAAAAGGGTTCATACAGTAAGACCCTGAGATAAAACTAATATAATAGAAAAGTGTAAGATGTGGGCTGAGGCAGGCTATTTTCTGTACTCCATATTGGAGAGAGCTGCTGCCATTTAAGCCCCGCCCACTAGGCGGTGTATGAGCTTTGTGGAGAAGCTCAGCTATTTGCTAATTCTGGAGCCTGTCAAAAAATTCCCTATTTTGATTGGACGAAATCAGAAAAGCCCAATTAAAGCGACAGCTCGGTTTTGTGGCAGGTTGCTACTGAATGTAGGACAAATCATCGCAACACCGGTCCTGACTACTAACTAAATGTTGTGAAATGTCGCTGTAGTTCTCTCCCATCACTTATGCACTCCACGTTAGGCAGGCTCTTGTCATGCAAATCATGCCATATGAAGCTATGCTGAAAAATAACTTAAAAATGTACAGTATATGTTATATTTATAATTTTTTGTTAACTAAAACAGGGTAAAAAGCAGATACTTCAAGATGCCAGTTTATGATAAATGTGCTGGGGGGGGGGGGGGGGGGGGGGGGGACCAGGGTCAGTGTGAAGTTAGGGTATGTCTGCGGTTCTCCAATAAGGAGTTGCTGGATGTCAGAGTGCCTTGTGAATAACGACCACAGCAAAGTTTTGATAGGACTGTCCTTCGAAATAGGATATAAACCCAGGGGTCTAAAATCTGATTCCATGCAGCCAGGCGTAGGCCAGTTAGAGTAAATGGATCTGCTTTGGTGTGGGGACCCAACTTAAACTGCTTCATGAAAACATGGATCTATAAAACAGAAGAAACATAAAAAAAGATGATGTTTTAACAAGTAACTTTAAATTTTCTAATTTAACTAACTCTGCAAAATAATTATTCAAATGTATCTAACCATTTTGGAGCATAGAAAAGAGCAGTACACACCAGAAAGGGGCCCCAACAGACACAAGATACCACAGTGACTGCTGCGAGCTGCACCAACATTTCCACATCCAAAGAGCAAAATAAGTAGGATGACGATGCTGATGATGCACGATGACCACTGCATGCTGAAGGTGTCGTATTTCCATTTCTCGATTTCATTCTTGCATGCAGAAGTGCCAGACCACTCACGATGTTGCAGAGCAGGGAAAAAAATAGAGCGAAGAGACCCAGACAAGAGAAAACAAGAACTAGGATGTTGTCAGCAGGTATCTCAGATTTTTGAATAGGTAAAAAGCACCATGTGCCAGGATATTGGATAGAATAGTTTCCCACTGAAAAAAAGGGTAAAACAGCCAGAACTAGTGCACAGGTTGACAAAGAAAGCACTACTGACTGAGCGTGAGTGACTGTAATCATAGAAACATGGAAAAATGGCTGGGTGATTGCCACACATCGTTCCACCGCCATTGCACAACCAAGCAATAATGAACATAAGCCAAAAAACACCATACTTGCTCCAAAAATGTTACAGAAGCCTGTTCCAGGTTTTAAGATTTTATACTGCTGATTTACACGCACGTGCAGTGCAAAGGCCCCTAAAATAACATGGCCCAAAAGGTCAGCCAAAAGTAATGCTACTGTTAGTAGTAAAAATGAATTTTTTGACTGGTGTCGAAATTTGGCACGGGACCGAGCCAGGATTCCCAGAGCAGTGATGTTGGAAATTGCTCCAAATATCATGGTGAAGCAGGACATCTCTAAACCACTAGACTGATGGGAAGTAGAGTTAGTATTAGACTCATTAGAAGAGGAGGATTCCAGTAGGGAGAGAGAAAAAGAAATCACAGGTACACTTGCTGCCGTCATCTTCTGTTTGATCTACAGAGAAATACAAGTGTGATTAAAATGTAATGTAATATGTAATTCTTCTAATGCATGCACAATATATACAATTGAAATGATTATTGATTTTAAATAAAGATGGGATCAGAAGATCACTTTATTTCTGGTCTTTACCTCTATTTTCGCCCTACGCTATTTTGTGAAAAGAAGAAACAAAGCACTGCTTATCTGCTCAGAAACACTCACTTTTTCTCTTTAATTTTGTCAGCCTAAAATTTCTTTATGACAGGAGCAATTGCTTGCAAGGCTACAGAGCATATTTTAGTACAATTCAAGGAAATTCATGGAGACACAATTTGCTCACTGATATGAATTTTGTTTTTGCATTGTTTACATAAGCAGTGTTTTAGTCAAAGTCAAGGTTGAAATTTTGAATGCAGTACTAAATAATACAAAATATATAACAGAAGCATATCTCTAGGAAATAATTAATCTGAATTATGTTGTTTACTTATTCATATAACCAGACGTTTGAATTTCTGCCTAATTTCTGCTGTCATCTGTTCATAGTGGCAGGGCAGCTTCTCCAGTATTACCTCTAGAGACATGCAGAAACCTGTTATTTCCTCATATTTTAGCTTCACGACTATCTTGTCTGTCATCTGTTAGAGGAGGAATTTACCAAGCATGTTTTTTTATTAGTGTAAATTACTATTTGAAAATGTATAAGGAATAGATCAAACTTACCCAGAGATAGCAATGGACGAATGCTGGGTTGTTATGGAGGAAACAGATGGATATGTTCCTTATCAGCAACGTTGCCCTGTTTACTAAGTGAGTTATCACTATTTCCCTCTCATTTTCTCCTGGTCTCCTCCCTTTTCTCTCCAACCGTTTCTCTTTCTTCCTCTTCCTGCTCTCTCCCTCACTCACTCATTCACTCACTCAGGGGAGAGCTTTTCAATCACCACCTTGTGGATCTGCATTTTCCGCTCTCCTTCTCTGTGAAAGTGCTCCCTTCATCTATTGATCTCTTCTGGTGATCAAATGGAGTACAGTGGATCAGCTTGCTCTCAGTTATTTTTCCACTGATTAACTGCTTAATAAATGGTTCAGCATTCATATTCTGAAGCAGATCTCACTTGCATTATTTTCCTAAAAAAAAAAAAAAATTTTTTTTCTTCTTTCCTGAAAACTTGTTTTATTCTTATCTCATAAACAAGTGACAGCATTGATTAAGTATTAGACAGTGGATCAGAGGCCCTTTGAGTTCATTTATGGAAAAAAGGTCAATATAAACAGAGTCGACCCAAAGCCTAACTGTAAACTATATTTTTAAATGTAGAGATTATTTGTGGTTTATTTCCGTTTCTAGGAACCATCAAACAGCTTATCTCACATAAACAGGAAGGAACAGGGGAAAGTCTTTTATTTCCTCTTTAAGATTCTCAACCACACAGTAAGAAACCATTAGCAATGTTGAAATAGAATTATATTTATTCTTATGAAACAAAACATATAGAAAATACAAAACAGATTTTAAGAATTCCCCCAATGAAAGAGATGTAAACAAGAAATAAACTGCTTCAATGTAAAAAAAATATATAAGATGTGCGCTAAAACCATGTGTTACAGCGGTGCTACAATTCCAGAGGACCGTAATATCTAAACTTACATCAATTTTGAGACAAACAATAAGCAAACTCCCAAATAAGTAATTTAGAAGTATACAGATGCAATAAATAAAGCAGCCTTGCAGCCACACACGAATGTACGCATAACTTTTCAGTAGCATATTTACAAACATATATTCAAATGATAAATCTTCCTTTCCCTTACTGAACAGTCTTTTATTCTTACTTTCTGCTTTTATATTTTCATGGTTATGTATGCAAATCTGCATGCTTCAACTTGTCTGTCAGCTCCTAATACATCAGAAAGTCCCCGCTCAGCGACTTTCAATATTTGTCCTATTCTATTCTATTCTATTCTATTCTATTCTATTCTATTCTATTCTATTCTATTCTATTCTATTCTATTCTATTCTATTCTATTCTATTCTATTCTATTCTATTCTATTCTATTCTATTCTATTCTATTCTATTCTATTCTATTCTATTCTATTCTGTTCATTGCTCCTGTGTTTTAGGTTTGATCAATATTTCTGAAACTCAGAGCTTTGAAAAAAGAAAACATTATTTTTTTTTTTATCTCCCTTGACGTACCTGAATGAAACAGCCTACACTATTAGTAAGGCTGATAAAAAAAATAATAGTAATAATAAAAAAAGCTATATATATATATATATATATATATATATATATATATATATATATATATATATATATATATATATATATATATATATATATATATATATATATATATATATATATATATATTCAAAATAAATTACACATTTTATCAAAAATCTTTTTTTTAAGTATTGGCATAAAAATGAAGCATGTAGGGTGTAAAGATAGGCCATAAAGCTTTAATATGCACATTCTGCTTCTGGTATATTAGATGTGAGACTCTCCTGTGTCCTGGGTACTTCTTGATGCCTGAAGATAAAAATGCAAAGAATATGATCGCTTTTAACATCGCTTTTTCAAGTTGGCTATGAACCAAAATATATCAACAGATTAGTTACAAAGCAACTATGGGATCACGAAAATTGATGTTTTGGAGAAAAGTATTAACCATCAAAATCAGGGGTGCTCAAGTCCAGTCCTCAAGAGCTACTATCCAGCAACTTTTTGATGCACCCCATTTTTAACACACCTGAATCAAATGAGTGGCTTGTTACCATGCCTCTGCTAGGCTAAAGGAGAGGATCTAGCCTTTTGATTCAGGTGTGTTAGAGAAGAGATGCATCTAAAAGTTACAGGATGGTAGCTCTAGAGGACTGGACTTGAGCACCCCTGATCAAAATCATCTTCGTAACATTGAAACTTCATGAACACAGCCGGGAAGGTGTGTCTGAGCAAAGTGGGCACAAATCAGACACTGGTTAACCAGGTCTGTCTGGAATAAGGAGTTTCAGCAAATTTTTGTTAGAAAAGTAAAATGTTTAGCCAAAGTAATATAGTAAAAACAACAACAAAAAAACTACTGAGGAAATATATGCAAACATTTAAATAAACAAAAAAAAAACTAACAAACAATAAAACTTCTCCTAATTTAGAAAATAGCAATGCTGTGTTTGTAGAATAAAATGAATTAAGCTAAGCCTGAATTTACCCACGTGTCTGGCAGACTTAGATTAAAAGTATATAATTTTGTGAACATACTTCTTTTGAATAGTGAAAACCAGCAGATTTTAAAGACAGTTTAGGTGCTGTAAGGCAAATATGTCTTGTATTTGTTATTGATTTATTGCACTAATGCTGTCTATCCTAAATCTGATGTGTCTTTTTCCAGCAACAACACATTTCTTTTTTTTTTTTTTTATAAAAGTTATTTTAAGTCAAACTCTTGCAGATGAATTACTAACTCTGGGCATGGCTTACCTGTACAATAGAATATGTTACATTTTATTTAATACCAGCTAAGGAAAAAGAGAAATAACTGTTACGGTATATTTTATATATGTAAATATATACAAATATCTGGTTCCAACTATAATATTTACATGTTTGGTGCATTGGTGTGAATGTTTTTTTTAATTTTTTTGTTATGCAACCAACTATTTCATTAAATGTGAAATGTATGCTTACATTAGCTTTACTTGAATGTGACAAGTTGAACTCGGAGTTTGCTCTCTTCTGAGGTGTGCATAAACGAGAAAGAATGTTTTCATACTCCTCCCTCACCTAAAATCAGAAAACACATTGAGTTCTTTTAATTGAAGATGTGGAAATACAAAAGCAGAATGTTTGTTAATTTCTAAAAACAAAAACAAAAAGTTAATGGCTGACCTGCTTTGAAAAAAGACAGTGCATGACAAAGAACATGACACCATACAGGCTCCCATAAATGGAGAACAGATAAGACATGACTATTGTGCCCTTCTCAAACTGGAAACAGCCAAAGATCCACATGGTGCCGAGCACACAGAGCTGAGCCACTGCAGTAATGGTGAAAGCCCTGCAGGGGGCAACAAATACACATAAAATATTAAATAAAACTGGAGGCACTTGATTTGTTCATGTTAAGGAGGGTCAGTCACAAAGGAAATTGTGAAATTTTACTGACATTCTTCACAGTGATCAGTTATTTTGATAGTTCTAGACATTTCAGTTTTAGCAGCACTTACTTGATTTTATACAAGCTGTCCAGGTCCGGGTTTAAACTGGAAAACTTTTGAGCTAATTTCCACACGGTAATGAGAAAGAAGAAAATGTTTACCTGGAAGATGAACAAAGTTTTGAACAGAAATTAGTTTGGTTTCACAAATGTTTCTAAGTAAATTAGTATTTATTTTAGATGAACTCTCACAATAATGATAACACAGGCAGGTCCAAAGAAACTCCAAATGGAATCCAAATTTAGCCAGCAACTAGAACATAGACACAGAGTTTATTGAGATTTTAGGTTAAAATGCTATAAATTCAAAGGTTAGGTTAAATTAGCTGATAGACGTACTATTTCTTAGTTCCGTATCCATCTGCATTCACCAAAGCAGTGATGCCAACAATTACAGCTGGGACTCCGTACCCTCCTGCCATCATGTAGATAGTTTTAAAGTTGGTGTTGAAGACGAGGACCACCATCCAAAGAGCTGGATTCCCTCCAGACACATCCAGCAGAATGTAGCCAGGTAGAAGAAGTGCAGCATCCCTGCCACTACTGCACAACCAATCTAGGAAAGCATGGGATTCAGCATGAAAATAGGAGAAAGAACACAATTTCAAGATGATTTCAAGATTGATAAAGGAGATACTCCCTGAGGTAATCTGTTTTAAAAGGATGCATACATTAAAACTGACAGTAGTGAATCAAATTGGTTTATTTAAATCTAATTTCTAAAGAAAGCAAGCAGATTACATTGAGACATAAACTTGCAAAATTCACTTCTCCCGAATGAACATGTAGCCATATGAGACTAAGAGCGGCAAACAATTTCAGGACAATTTTACGTATGTCACAAAATCTTAATCTATTTACCTTGTTTGTTGTCTGAGAGATGCCTACGAGAAAGATAAGGGTTGCAGTAAAGAGGCTGATGCAGAGGTGCAGGTGAATGGTTGTTCTTGGGCTTTTAATGGACCGGATCATTGAAAATGTCAGGATGCAGAAAAACAAGCAAATCAGTGAAAGGGAGAGTCCTATCCAGGAGATCAAATGCAACTCAAAATGGCCCTGTTGTGAAGACAAGATGGAAGCGTTAAAAAACTTATGGTGTAAAGGTGATGCATTGTATTTTATGGTGTAAGACGTTTTATGGTTTGAATCACAGTAGGTAAGCTTTTAGAACCTCTACGTCATAGAGAGCCATGAGCACAGCGAAGCTGCTTGGTAGTTACAGGAGCACACAGTATATTCAGAGTTAGATTCCACCATACTGCAGCCACGAGATGACCATGAATCTCCATCCTTTGAGGAATCCCAGAACACACAGGTGTGTGAAGTTTGATTTGACTGCAAAATAGATAAATGCAATAGTTAAACAATTACCTTAAAAATGTAAATGTTATGAAAACAAAACAACAAAAAATAGGCTTTTTCCTTTACCTGATCAAGGTGGTGCAAAGTTATATTGACTGGTTCTTTAAGGTGTGTTGTGTCTCTATTACTGACAGTGACAGTCACCACTTTTGAGTTCACTTTAAATCTTTGGTTTTCAGTCTTTTCCATCCCACTGAAATAACCATTTGCAGTTTTTTCCAGGTTTAAATAGCTCAGCAAGGAAACTGTTGTATGTCCTTTGACAACAGTTAAAATAGGTTCAGTGTTTCTAATGAATGTGTTTCAAATGTTTTTTTATAGACATCATTGTTACCTGGGTAAGATGAGATATCTCCTGCAGCTTCCTCCAACAT